CTCTTTATGGGAGTAGAAAGGCTCATCTTTCTTTCCTGGCATGACTCATGGTTTTGAACTACTGACCTTGTGGATAGCAGCCCAACACATAACCACTATGACACCAACATAAATCACAGTTTCAAAGATTATTTCATTAAGGACATAAAGAACATGCTAACAAAATATTTAGTGGAAAATAAGTTACAAAATCACGCAATACCATATTCATTCTTTCTGTGCCTCTCTCAACTTTCCAAGTATCTTGTCTCTGTGTGATCGACAGTAGTGATTAAAGTATGGCCTCTGGAGTCAGACTGCTTAGGCGCATATGCTGACAGCCCCACTTCCTACTTTTGTACCCTTCTTAACCTTGTGCCTCCGCTTTCTCATCTGTAAAATAAGGACAATGATACTACCTACTTTATAGGGTGTTATCAGTATTAAATAAATTAATAGACATAAAGTCCTTAGGTACAGGAAGTAGTAGTTTAGTGTTAGCTACTGTTATTACACCCAATCTTCACTTATTGAGATCATTACTTTCCAAAGATCAGGTCTTTATGCGAAAATTGATGCTATGCAAAACTGGAGGTTGCTTACATCATGACATCACTAGTGACTTATCTCATTACATAATTGCAAAGCCACTCAGGAGCATGGCCCAGCCAGGGTGACACATAACCATCACTGGCAGCATTACTATCACCTCATGCTCCAATATTCATGACTATCAGGTGTGTGTTGTTTATGTGCAAAACTGCTGGCTGGATTTTTTTCCTATTGTTGGAAAAGTGAAATGTCAGATAACAAGAGAGCTATTAAGTGAGGAGTAGATATATTACAGATACATCTAATTACCATATATACTCGTGTATGAGTTTTCAGCACATTTTTAATGCAGTTTTTGTGGTAAAATTAGGTGACTCGGCTGATATTCCGGTTGGCTTATACTCAAGTATCTACAGTAAGTACTTTTGTACGCTGAAAAATTACTGAAAGAAATGACAAGAAAATATTTTCCAATCTCCTGGTGGTGTGGATACTATTTATTTATTTTAAATTATCCTCTAAAATGTATTTGCATCTTCTATAAACTCTGACTTGGAGGTTTCATAGTGCAATAGCAGTAAGTAAGTGATCTGGAGTATTTGCTCAGGGAGATTCTCCTTTTACATCTTTTTACTTGTGGCCCTTTCCCTTGACACAAAAGGAGTCTGTCTCCTCCCTTGTCTCCACAGAATGCAGGTGTTTCTCTTCCAGTGATTTTTTTGATCTTAGCGCAATCTACCGAAAGCCCAGTGGAGACTGGGGCGGGCAGGGCCACTGCGAGGCCTGTGAATGGTGCTGGGAGGGAAAACGATGGAGCATTCACGCAGGCAGTCACTAGACTGGAGGGTTCAAACCAGCCAGTGTTCAGTCCTTCGGGAATAATCTGATTTCTAAATGTGAAAAAGATGTCACATCTATTGGGTTGGAAGGGACATTTCATAGGTCTTTGAAATCTGCGTAGTTTGCAGCCATCTGGCCTT